GCCGCTCCCTGCCTGGCAGCCGCTGCTCCGGGCCTGGCCGCACCCGACCCGCCTGCTCCCCCGGGCCTGGCCGCTCCCAGCCTGGCAGCCGCTGCTCCGGGCCTGGCCGCACCCGACCCGACTGCTCCCCCGGGCCTGGCCGCTCCCAGCCTGGCAGCTGCTGCTCCGGGCCTGGCCGCACCTGACCTGGCTGCTCTGGGCCCGGCTGCCCCGGGCCCGGCCGCTCCGAGCCTGGCCACTCCCGACCTGGATGCTCTGGGCTTGGCTACTGCTGTTCTGGGTCTGGCTGCTCCCACCCCGGCTGCTCTGGGCCCGGCTTCTTCGGGCCCGGCCACTACGGGTCTGGGTGTTCCTGGCCTGGCCACCCTGGGCTTGGCCGCCTCCGCCTCATGCCTGGCTGCCACTGCCCCAGGTCTGGCTACTCCAGTGCTGGCTGTTGATGCTCTGGTTCTGGCTGCTGTTGTTCTGGGGCCTGGCCGTTGCTGCTCCGGGTCTGGCTGCCACTGCCTTGTGCCTGGCCACTCTAGGCCTGGCCGTCGCTGTTCCAACATTCTGTCCTTTTTTTTTCTTTTTAAAACGCATTTATGTTGCAATGTTGGCTGGTGAGTTGAGTTCTGACTTAGTCTTTGATTTTTCAAGATCTTCTTTGTATTCTTTCTTAAGTAATTTTACTATTTTTTGCTCTCACTTGATTTCTTCACATTGAGAACTTTTTTGGTTTCTTCCTCCTTGTCCTGGGAGCTCAGCAGGTTGGCCTGTGGCACCCCTTTGTTCTCTGCAGGCTCCTGCGCTGCTTCAGCCTGTTGCCGGGACGGCGCCGCCCAGGAAGCAGCCCCTGGCCTTGGCTCCATTGCCCGAGCTCAGTGGTCAAAGGCTCAGGGGTACCCACGCCCCCAGGGGCCTCGTGGCCCGCCTCCTTGCTGGTGCCCGGTTGGCTGGAGTCCAGCAGGGGCTTCCGCTCCCCTCCGCGTTCCCCCAGCCTAGAGCTTTTTTTTTTTCTCCTTCCTGCTAGGTAAGTCCATCATCAGAGTCAACAGACTATCCTCTGCGCGCAGTTTGCGCGAGTCCCACAGACTGTCCTCTGCGCGCAGTTTGCGCGAGTCCCGGGGGCCCGGCCTTTCGCCGCTCTCCCCGGACTCCACCTCACAGCCCCGTCTCCCTCTGCCTGAGCCTGGGTCCCCAGGGATTGGCCCAGAACTGGGGTTCGGAGCAGTCCGGACTGAGGCTCAGCGCCGCCGGAGGCCTTGTTTCTTCCGGCTAGGGCAACCCAGCATCAGAGTCAACATTCAGTCCTCTGCGCGCATTGCGCGCGACTCCCGGGGCCCTGCCTTTCGCCGTTTTTCCGCCTCACGGCCCTGTCTCCTCCCGCCAGAGCCTGGGTCCCCAGGGTCTGGCCCATAACTGGGGCTCAGCGCTGCCGGTTCGGGGGGGCTCAGCGCTGCCGGTTCAGGGGTTCAGCCCAGGCTGGGGGCCTTATTTCCTTCCTGCTAGGGAAGGAAAGGCAGCTCCCCGCCCTCTCCTCCTCTCCGGCTGCGACCTCTCCGTGCGCGCGTGCGGGCGGGCAGGCGCGCGCAGCATGTCTCAGTACCTTAGGCTTTTTTTCAGCTCCTCTGATTTTCTTTCTGGTTTTCTCTTTCCTTCTTGTTGTAGAAATTTCAGTCAGTCGACTACCTGTAGCTCTGGGCAATGTCCACTCTACATTTTAGTTGTATTCCATTGAAATTGTTGTGTGCTGCAGCGGCTAGATGTCTACCCGAGCAGCCATCTTGGATCCTCCCCTCAAATAGGTAGCACTTTAAATAACTGTACCTATGGAAACATCAATTCTTTTGATTTATTCAAATATACAAATATTACCTAACTATATTTAAAGTTGGGAGTACGCTGTGTAATAAACCTTCTGATTTAGAGCAATACCTGAAGGCATTTTGGGTACCTATCTGATGTGAATTATTAATCAATTAAAACTTTAAATTCATAATCAATTACATACTTGGGTCAAGTTTTTACATTTTAAAGTCACTTTAAGGAATACATTCCTTGGACTTTTGTAAACTGTATATTTTGTACAAAAGTCCTCTCTCCTATATCTTGAATGTAGAATTTCTATCCAAATATAATCCCTACTATTGACTGAGATTCTAGGTCCAACTATAGGATTTCCCATATTCTTCTGTTTTAAGGTTTCCTGCTAGAATGAATGCCAAGGTGAGCAATAAGCTACGGATGCTGATTAAAGATTTTAGGAAATTGTTTACATTTGTTTCTCTCCAGTATGAATGCTGATGTTGGGTCAGGTTGCATACTGAGTAAGCTTTGTCACATTATTTATATCTGTTGGGCTTCTATCCACTAATTGTCAGATAGTGTATGACATATAAATGAAGATAAATCCTTTGGGTTTTTTATTATTTTTTTATTTTATGAAGATAAATCCTTTGACATGCTGCGGGAAGCGCCCCATTGTCTTCACAAGCAGAAAGGTGTGGACAAGGAACCCAGAAGGCTGGTGACTCTTGAGCTCTGTCAAAGGACAGAGTTATGAACCCACTGATTACTTGAGACTATGGTAGCTGAAGCAACTTCCCTACCAGTCATGTAAATCCTTACGGAAAAAGTAATCTGCCTGTTACTGGAAATTGCCTGCCTAAGGGCTATAAGTGTATCACAAAATTGAGTAAAGGGATGGCAGGCCTGGAGTCCTATCTCTTGAGCTGGGCTCCCACGTGGTCCCTCAATATTTCCAAATTATTTGTCTTGTCTCTTCATTTGCATGTGGCCCCTCTTCCAGAGGCTGAACCTTGAGCCACGTGGGACATGGGGGGATCATTCACATCTGATGCCTCAGCAGACCTCTGGAGAAGACTTTGCCTAGAGCGAAAAAACAAACTTTCATCAGCAAGGTGGGGGAAAAAAAAAAAAGAGTTCACTAGTTAGCAGGAGGGAGGGGGGGGACACTGTACAGGTGGTAAATTTCACTGCATGCAAAGCCTACACTCAGCTTCAGAAGTCACAACATGTAAGTAGGGTTGGGAACGTTTCTTTAACCAGGTTAAAGGGCAGAATTCGATTATATACTTTATTATAGACTTTTGGCTTGCGTGCTTAAGGAATTAAAATTTCAGAAGTTTTTGCTTGATGTTATAAAACATAACCCTTGGTTTCCCGAAGAAGGTACATTAGATCTTGAATGTTTGGCAAAAACTTGGTTAAAATTTGAAAAACGTCAGTGACAGGGGAAAAAAACTTGCCTTCAAACTATTTCTCATTATGAGGTGCTGTATTTCATTTGCTAGAGCCTTTTAGAAAGCCTTGCACCCTCCGCCCCCGAGGGTTGGGAGAGAAATAGAAAAACTGGAGGAATGGACTTCATGGCCCCATTCCACCTCCATTTCCTAATACTGAAATATCTAATTCACCGTTAATAGAGTCACCTGTGCAAACAGCTATCAGAGAAAGATTACAGGAGAAATTATGAATACTATTTCTTAGCTCCTTATGATTGGTATTCTCTGGCTCTTGAAACTCTGGATGGAGGAGATCATTTACTATGGAAGGGAGAATTTTTGAAGATGATTTGAGCATGTCAGAATGTGGGGTCAGGCATTCTTCAAGCAAATTTTATGGCTGTAACAGTGGGAACCAGTCTCGAGAACATTTTGCCAAGTTTTTATTTCGCAATCCGTCATTTAAAATTTAGACAGCCAAAGCCAGAACCGGTTTGGCTCAGTGGATAGAATGTTGGCCTGCGTACTGGAAGGTTCCAGGTACAATTCCGGTCAAGGGCATGTACCTTGGTTCCAGGCACATCTCCAGTAGGAGGTGTGCAGGAGGCAGCTGATCGATGACTCTCTCTCATCGATGTTTCTAACTATCTCTCTCCTTTCCTCTTGGTACAAAATTAATAAAATATATTTTTAAAATAAATAAATAAAAAAAACAAAATAAAATAAAAGAAACAGAGAAACTCTCTAAAAGTTGGCCTGGAAATTATTCTACAGGGAAATAAAGAAATTTCCTTCAAATGTCTGGGAAAAAGTATTCGGCTTTGAAAAATAATTTGTATTTTTGCCTCCCTAAACAAAGCTTATATAAAGGTACTAAATGATTAAAAGAAATTTGTCATTTACTGTCCATAACCTAGGACAAGTTAAGAGAGAAATCTTATGTCAGATTGAGTTAAACTGGCTAATTAAAATAAATGTATATGGGAAGATATATACACATATAATACATTAATTAAAAACGTGAAGAAAATAGCGGAGACTGGTTTGGCTCAATGGATAGAGCGTCGGCTTGGGGACTGAAAGGTGCCGGGTTCGATTCCGGTCAAGGGCATGTACCTTGGTTGCAGGCACATCCCCAGTAGGGGGTGAGCAAGAGGCAGCTGGTCGATGACTCTCTCATCAATGTTTCTAGCTCTCTATCTTTCTCCCTTCCTCTCTGTACAAAATCAATGAAATATATATATTTTTTTAAAAGTGAAAAAAATAGTGTATATTAATAAAAACTGTGTTGTTTAGGCAGGAAACTGTTCCTGAAGCATTAACTAATTTTTCACTAATAGTTCATCTCATAGTAAACTTGTAAGACTTCCCTCTACTAAAGAAATCTCTCTTATTTTGTAAATTTTGAGCTGTGGTTACAGTATCTTTCATATGCTCTACATTTTTAAGGAATCTCTTTAATATGAAGTTTCTCAGGTACAGTAAGACATAAATGGATTTTAAAGGCATTTCTACATTTTTCACTTTCTTAAGGCTTTTTCCCATTCAGAATTCTGTGATGTTAAGCAAGTTCTCACAGCTATTAAAGAACTTACAACACTCCCCTCATCTGTAAATCTTCTCTCAAGTATGAACTCTGCTGTGCAGTAAGGCGGGAACACTGGTGAAAGACTGTTATGTTTCCTAAATTTGTAAGTTTTCTCTTCAGAATGATCTCTCTGATGATTTGTAAGGCCTGAGGAGCTGCCAAAGGATTTTCGACATTTTCTACAATTACCTGGTATAAGGTTTCTGTCCAGTGTGAACTCTCTGATGATATCCAAGGCTTGAGGACTGGCTAAAGGATTTGCCACATTCTCTACATTTATAAGGCTTCTCTCCAGTATGAACTCTCTGATGATTAGTAAGAGATGAGGAATAATTAAAGGATTTGCCACATTCTCTACATTTATAAGGCTTCTCTCCAGTATGAACTCTCTGATGATTTGTAAGGGATGTAGAATAGTTAAAAGCTTTGCCACATTCTCTACATTTATAAGGCTTCTCTCCAGTATGAACTCTCTGATGATTAGTAAGAGATGAGGAATAATTAAAGGATTTGCTACATTCTGTACATTTATAAGGCTTCTGTATAAGATGAACTCTCTGATGATTAGCAAAGGATAAAGAATGGCTGAAGGCTTTGCCACATTCTCTACATTTATAAGGCTTCTCTCCAGTGTGAACTCGTTGATGATTAATAAGGGATGGGGAGTGGCTAAATGCTTTGCCACATTCTCTACATTGATAAGGCTTCTCTCCAGTATGAACTCTCTGATGATTAGTAAGCGATGAGGAATAGTTAAAAGCTTTGCCACATTCTCTACATTTATAAGGCTTCTGTCCAATATGAACTCTCTGATGATAAGTAAAGGATGAGGAATGGCTGAAAGCTTTGCCACATTCTCCACATTTGTATGGTTTTTCTCCCGTGTGAATACGGTTATGTTTAATGAGACATGTATGGCTAATAAAGGCTTTGCCACATTCTCTACATGTATAAGGCTTCTCTCCAGTGTGAATTCTCTGATGTATAATTAGTTTTGAGGAGCTGCTGAAGCTTTTTCCACATTCTCTACATTTATGCGGTTTCTCTCCAGTATGAATTCTCTGATGAATCCTAAGGTCTGAGGACTGGATAAAGGCTTTGTCGCATTCTATACATTTATAAGGCTTCTCTCCAGTGTGGACTCTCTGATGATATCCAAGGTTTGAGGACCTAATAAAGGCTTTCCCACATTCTCTACATTTGTAAGGTTTCTCTCCAGTGTGAATTCTCTGATGAACAATAAGTTTGGAGGGTTGGCTGAAGGCTTTGCCACATTCTGAACATTTATAAGGCTTTTGTTCCGTATGATTTCTATGATGCGGAGTATGTTTTGAGGGCTGACTAAAACCTTTTCCATTTTCCATAAGTTTGTCAAGTTTTTCCTTAGTGTGAAGTCTTCTCTCATGTACAGTGAGAGTTAAATGACATTTAAAGGCTTTGCCACATGCTTTACATTGGTAAGGCTTGTTGCCAGGCAGAATTCTTTCATTTAGAGTACAACCTGAAGGACAATTAGATGTTTTACTAGAATTTTTACATTTATAATGTTTTTCTCCACTATGGATTTCTTTCAGTCTATTTCGATTGATTGTTTGACTGACGATTTTACCACATGCATTAGCTGTGTAAGTTTGCTCTCCGGCATAAATATTCTCTTGTTCAGTGTAATTTGAAGATTTCTGAAAAGATTTGACACGTCTACTTCCTTCATGTGTCTTTTCCACAATAGGATATAATTGACCTACATGGTGATTGGACATTTGTTTCAAGACTTTTCCACTTTTATTATGGTCCTCTGCAAGCTCAATTCTCCATTGTTTATTAAGATATGACTCTTTCTTAAAGTTTTTCCAATGTGCGTTCCATTGATAATTTGTGTCTTCGTTATATTTACTCTGCTGGTAATTGGAGATAGAAAGGTCTTTAATGACAGTTATATATTTAAGAAACATGTACACTTCTGAACAAGAACCACAAAAGTTGTTTAAAAAAGAATTCACTATTTATTAAAATTATAGACAAGCCGGAACCGGTTTGGCTCAGTGGATAGAGCGTCGGCCTGCGGACTGAAAGGTCCCGGGTTCGATTCCAAGCACGAGCATGTACGTTGGTTGCGGGCACATCCCCAGTAGGGGGTGTGCAAGAGGTAGCTGATCGATGATTCTCTCTCATCGATGTTTCTAACTCTCTATCCCTCTCTCTTTCTCTCTGAAAAAAAAATCAATAAAAAATATTAAAAAAAACAAAACGAAATTAGACAAAACATAAAAATAAAACTGTTTGAGGAAGAATAACGAGTCCTTGTTTGAAACATTGCCAAACTGCCCAGCCGGCAGAGTTTAGGAGTTGAGCATTGACATATGAAAACGGAGATCATGGTTCGATTCCCCATTAGGGCACATTCCCAGGTTTCAGACTAGGTCCAAAAAGAGCAATGCAGGAGGCAGCCAATCAATAATTTTCTCTCATTTCTTAAAAAAAATAAATAAATAAAAAAAAAAAAAATATATATATATATACACACACACACACACACACACACACACATACACTTTTTTTTTTTTTTTTTTTTTTTCAGAGCAGAAGGGAGACAATGAGGAAAGAGAAACATTGATTAGCTGCCTCCTGCATTTCCCCTACTGGGGATTGTGCCTATGACCCAGGCATATGCCCTGGAGTTGAATTGATCTTGAGACCTTTCAATTCACAGACTGAACCAAACCAGCTATGGCTATCTCTCATAATGGATGTTTCTCTCACTCCCTCCCCCTTTCTCTCTGAAATCAATAAAAATAAAAATTTTATATATATATATATGTATATAGTAATAAGATATAGTAATATATATAATCGTATTACTTTTAAATATATGTATTTTATTACTTTTAAATATATATATCTTATTTTTATTTAAATATATATCTTATTTTTAAATATATATCATTACTTTTAAATAAATATCTTATTACTTTCAAATATATATATATATATATATATATATATATATATATATTTGAAAGTAATAAGATTGGTAAATTAAGACTTTAATGATATAACATTATAAATATCTAAAATTTAGAAATAATTACAAGTTTAATACCACCCTACATTTTAAACAATTCTAATCACTATACACATCACAGACTGAATTAGCTCCTAGTTTTCCAGATTTTCTTTCCAAGGTTTTATCACAGCAAAAAGTTTTCAACCATCCCGTGCAGAAACAAACTGATCTGCTAATATCACTGAGTTTAATGTGGGAGGTTTCCCAATGCATAATACACTTGACTGCTATAGATAACAAGAATTGTATTATGAATGATTGTTCCCGGTTAGTTCATTTTCTATTAACATCTTCTCTTCTCATCACATTCTTTGTTAAATTCCTAGGCTTTCATTAATTGTACATTGTTAAATCCACACCTTTTATATCTTACCAGAATAATTTCAGAGAATAAATCTTGAATTCCAGGTTTTAGAAAAAAGGTCTCGTCATCTTCAGATGATATAGCTAAAAGAAAAAAAATTTTTAGTTTTGACAATCTGATCAGTGCACTTTGAAATTATCAGCAAGTATAGACCAAATGACATTTTTGAGTACTTCAAATGCAAGTGAAGAATTCAAAGAAAGCTCAAGATAGGAGCAGGGAATGCAGGGAAATGCAATACTGTCCTGACTGGGAAACAGGTGAGCCAAATAGAACAATAGAGGAAGTGAATGATTTTCACTCCTTGCACTTTTTATACTTATTTTTTCATCTTTTATTTAAGAAACTATTTTTTTCTTTCTTCCTCACTTGATTTTACCTTTTTAAAATATTTTTACTTTTTTTTTTTTTTAATATATTTTATTGATTTTCCACAGAGAGGAAGGGAGAGGAATAGAGAGCTAGAAATGTTGATGAGAGAGAAACATCGACCAGCTGCCTCCTGCACACCCCCTATCGGTGATGTGCCCGCAACCAATGTACATGCTCTTGACCGGAATCGAACCTGGGACCCCTCAGTCCACAGACCGACACTCTATCCAATGAGTCAAACCGGCTTCGGCAAAACATTTTTACTTTTTTTTTTTTTTTTTTTTTTTTATAAAATATATTTTATTGATTTTTCACAGAAAGGAAGAGAGAGGGATAGAGAGTTAGAAACATCAATGAGAGAGAATCATCAACCAGCTGCCTCTTGCACACCCCCTACTGGGGATGTGCCCGCAACCAAGGTACATGCCCTTGACCGGAATCGAACCCGGGACCTTTCAGTCCGCAGGCCGACGCTCTATCCACTGAGCCAAACCGGTGCCGGCAAAACATTTTTACTTTTAATCAGTATTATTACTTATTAAATGTAATTTTTATATTTACTTATTAAATGTAATCTTATTTTTACTGTTATAATACTGATTAAAAATAAAAATGTAATAATTAAAAAGGTATTTTAATTTTTACCATTTTTTAAGTGTCATTTTATTTTACTTTGAGATTAGTGCTCTACATTCTATTTTCATCTTTCTTTTAACATCATTCTACTCTATTTCAAATCTACCTTTATATCATTACTCTCTTCTTAACTTTTAGCCTTTTTTGTCCTGTTTCTCTTACCCTTTTTCTGCTTTAGATTTTCCTTATTCTTTTTTTTTTTACCCGTTAACATTTCACCCTACATATATATCTAATTTCCAATCCCCTGCCAAGTCCATATACACCTCTCTTCTCTGTCTTCACTATTTAAAAATTGATTCTCTCTCTGTCCTTTTATTGTTGTTTGCTTGAATGTTAATTATATTGATTTTTTATGCTTGTTTGTGAGATTGTTTTATTTTTTCTTTTTTGTAAATATAATAAATTTTTATTGTTTAGATTATCACAATTATTTCTCCTTTCCCCCCACATAACTGACAAATTAGATTTCAAAGTGAAGGACATAACAAGAGGTAAAAACTGCCACTTCATAATCCAACAAAAAGAACTCTGGTAAAATATATGCACCCAATACAGGAGCACCCAAAAACATAAAAAAAAACTCCTGAAGTATATGAAGGGAGAGATTGACAGCAATACAATCATAATAGGAGACCTTAATACCCCACTATTACCACTGGACAAATCATGTAATTAAAAAAAAAATTAGCAAAGAAACATCAATCCTAAATGACTCATTAGAGCAAATGGAATTAATTGAAATCTTTAGAACATTTCACCCCAAAGCCACAGAATATACATTCTTCTCAAGTGCATATGGGTCATTTTCAAAGGTACACCATATGTTGGGTCATAGGCAAAGTCTTTTCAAATTCAAGAAGATAGAAATCATATCAAGCATCTTCTCAGATCACAGTAGCATAAAACTGGAAATCAACTACAATAAAAACAATCTCACATGCTGAGTGAAATAAGCCAGTCAATGAAAGAGAAACACCACATGACCTCACTCATTTATGGATAATAAAAAACATTATAAACTGATGAACCAAAAGATAGATATAGAGACAGTAAAGCAACAAGCAGACTGTCAAATTACAGCGGGGAGGGGAGGGAGATCTGGGATAGATAAGAGATCAATCGGAGGACTTGTATACATGCATATAAGTACAACCAATGGACACAAAACTCTGGGGAGGGAGGGCATGTATGTGTGTGGGGGGGGACAATGGTATATGTACACAGATAATAACTTAATAAAATAAAAAAATCCAAAAAAAATCATACATATGGAGACTAAACAGCATGCTATTAAACAATGACTGGATTACCAGGAAGAAATAAAAAACATCATGGCAACAAATAACAATGAAAACACAAGAATCCAAAATGTATGAGACACAGCGAAAGCAGTCTTGAGAGGGAAGTTCATAACTCTAGAAGCCTACTGCAAAAGACAAGAAACAATGGAAATAACCTGACCCTACAACTCAAAGTGTTAGAAAGAAAGCAACAAGAAAAACCCAGTGTAAGCAGCAAGAAGGAAATAATAAAGATCAGAGTGGAGATAAACGACATTGAGACAAAAAAACAACAAAAAACAATACAAAAGATCAACAAAACCAAGAGCTGATTCTCTGAAAGGATAAACAAGATTGATGAACCTCTAGCCAGGCTCACCAAGAAGCAAAGAGAGAGGACCCCAATAAACAAAATAAAAAATGAAAGAAGTGAAATAACAACAAACCCCACCAAAATACAAAGGATTGTTAAAAAAAAATACTTGAACAACTCTACTCCAATAAATTGGACAACCTGGAGGAAATGGATATATTCCTAGAAAAATATAACCTTCCAAAACTCAATCAGGAAGAATCTAAATATCTCAATAGACCAATAATTATTGAAGAAATTGAAGCAGTCATCAAAAAGCTTTCAGCAAACAAAAGCCTGGGGCCAGATGGCTTCACAGGGGAGTTTTACCAAACATTCAAGGAAGAACTAAAACCTATCCTCCTCAGACTATTCCAAAAAACTCAAGAGGAAGGAACACTTTCAAGATCCTTCTATGAAGCCAGCATCACCCTAATACCAAAAGCAGATAAAGACAACACAATGAAAGAGAATTATAAGCCAATATCCCTCATGAACATAGGACCCCAGTGGTGCACAAATTCATGCACTGGGTCTCAGATTAAAATAATAACAGGAATAAAACCCCTGCATAGGAATTCAAGAAAGAAGTCATCCTCACCCACAGAAGACAGGTTGCTGTAGTTCTCCAACATCACATCCAGAAACAATTTCCGCTGAGCGGGGTTCAGGCATTCCCATTCCTCCTGAGAAAAATCTATGGCCACATCCCTGAAGGTCAGCAGTCCCTGAAAGAAAAGACACATTTACCAAGAGGTCACTAGAGGAATTCATAATGTCACCCAACATGAAAACAGTGTTAGGAGAAGAGGTTCGGACCTACGGGTGCATCTTGAATCACCCAATAAGATCACTTTGCCCCAGTAACATTCTCTGATGTCTTTTTGAACAATGACAAATGAGAATTATACATGTGCAACAATCCTTGGTACTCATTTCACTTTTCAGGAAAAAAATGTTTAAAGTTTAAAATTAGTGCATGGATACAGGCATGTGGATTTCTGAGTGTTGTGTTTGCATCATTAAGGGTCAGTGGTGTATATTTCTCAGCGGGAAATGTCAAGATGAGTCCGAAATATAAGCACTTCAAGGGTAACACACACAAAAAACGACTGCACTTTCTGAAAATACAGATGCTGATCCATGTTCTGAGATGGGGCCTCTGTTTCAACTTGTGTTACAAGCTCACTTTTTCCTTGTGATACCAATGTTACCGGATCTCGTGCCATATGTCTGCATACACAGAAAATGAAAACACAGGAAAAATTAATATATAACTTTGATCTTCAGGGTTCTGTTAATGGAATTTACAGTTCTCATGGACTAGGACATAAAGGAGCCACAATCCTATTTGAAAACTTCTATGAGTAATCTTAGAACAAGATCATTTGCCTGGTCCAGCGGGTGTGCCTCAGTGTTTGAGCACTGACCCATTAACCAAGAGGTCACTGGTCAGAACACATGCCCCAGTTGCCGGATTGATGCCAGTGTGGGGCGTGCAGAATTTAGTCAATGATTCTCTCTCATCATTCATGCGATTATCTTTCACTCTCTCTTCTTTTTTGCAATCAACAAAAATATACTACAAGAATAAGAGAGGGAAATATAGCAACTGCTGGCATTGACTATCACAAGATAACAGGAAAGGAAAATAAACAAGCAAGGCAAACCATCAACAGTAGAGAAATAAATCCGAAGATATTAATGTAAAAGCAAATTCAGCCTCTGATCCAGGACACTTATTTTACCTGAGAAGGAGCCATCTGGTCCTGGCTACTGATCCTGGCCGTGGGATGTTTTCTCAGGTGACAATATCTTGAGGAGTCACAGAATGTGCCTTCAAAGGCGTCTGCAGCACCTGTTAATCAGCTCACCTCACACTCAAGTCAGAAGAACCTGGAAATGAGGAAAAGTCCACCTCATCCTGTTGTTTATCACAGGAGCCAGGAACAATGAGCTCCTACAGGTGAGGTGTTTTATTCCGTCTTTATGTGTCTGTGCTTCCAAACACTTCCACACACTCCTACAGCAATGAGTGCATGTGCTCATTTCCTGAAACACCAAAAGCAACAGAGCACCCCTTACTCCCCCCAAAAAAGCCTGCACTGAGGCCCACGCTATGCCATCTTTAACCAGTTCACTCCTGAGGCCTGCGAGGCTCCCCCAGAGCTGATTTCAGTAGCACTGGGTAACAGACATCAGTCCCAGCACACCTGAGACCTGTGGGTAGTGTGATGGTGTCACAGCACAGCTGCTCTGAGTCCAGATATTCTTCTGAATTCCGCTCCACTACCCCATGTGTAAGAGTAGGATCCATGCCAAATCCGGTTTGGCTCAGTGGATAGAACGTTGGCCTGAACACTGGGGGGTCCTGGATTCGATTCCGGTCAAGGGCATATACCTTGGTTGCGGGCACATCCCCAGTAGGGGGTGTGCAGGAGGCAGCTGATTGATGATTTTCCTCTCATCGATGTTTCTAACTCTTTATCCCTCTCCCTCCTCTCTGTAAAAAATCAATAAAATAAAATTTTTTTTTTAAAAAAAAGAGTAGGATCCATTTCTCTGGGAGTGTTTACTCCTAAATCCTGCTCATATGCTAATTGTGAGAGCAAGTTCCACCTTGAACCCTGCTCACTGCACCAACTGTTGGGAACTTAGTCTAAATTCATTCTTTCCTCTCAGCTCAACTATACCAACTTAGGGTTTGAGCTTCTCTACCAGGGGCTGGACCTTCTTAAATGCCAAACAGCAGCTAGAGAAGCCATGAGAAGTTGTTTATATAAGAAAATCTTTATTATAGAAGCTAATTTGGGGATGTGTCCACAACCAAAGTACATGCCCTTGACCAGAATTGAACCTGGGACCCTTTAGTCTCCAGGCCGAGTTCTAGCCACGCATCAAGGCAGCGGTATTGCAGTACCTCTGGAACGGTGCAAAAAGAAAAACAAAGAAACCAACAAACAAACAAATAAAACCCACAAAAAAAACAATTAGGGTGGTTATTTTTTTTTTTTTAAATGTAATGATATTTAGGTTTAAAGATGTGAAAATGTGGAGATTATCTTATATTAACAAAAGAATGGTAAGCGTTGCTTCTGAGATGTCATCAATGCTTATTTCAGCGGTTAACCACTATTTTCATGAAGGAAATGTCAGAGATAGAAAATGCAAATCCATGCGAGAAAAAAAAAAATTGATCCTTCTAATACTGCTTGATAAAGCATCCTGTGGGGGCAGACTTAGTCATTTCTTGTCCCAGGTCACCTCCTTGCCATCCCGTGAAATGACAAGGGGCCCATCAGGAACATATCAGTCTCTCCCTCTGTGTGAATAAGGTTTGCAAATGGAAGCAAATAAATATACATTTGCCAAACCTTATAAACTGGAGATTTATAATTCTCAGTCAAATCAGATTCCATGATTCAGTTGTTAAAATTAAACATATCACTACAAACTGATATATCCCAACTTAATCATCCACATTCCATGAGCTCACCTCTCACTCAAATTAGGGTCCCCTCCTTCCCACTACAGTGTACTTCTGTCTATGGATCTGTTTCTGTCTCACTGTTCCCTTTCTCCACTGTGGTCCTTTCTTATATTTCACTGTCCCTCCCACTTTCTCCCCTTTTCTCTATTTCTGTCCCTACACACGGACCATTAAAATCTTGTAACCTATTTCCCTTCAGGTGCTCTTTTAAAAAAATAATAAGATATTTTATTGATTTTATACAGAGAGGAAGAGAGAGGGTGTTAGAAATATCCATGAGAGAGAAACATGGATCAGCTGCCTATTGCAATCCCCTACTGGGGATGTAACTGCAAAAAAAGGTGAATGCCCTTGACTGGAATCCAACCCAGGACCCTTCAGTCGCAGGTCCACACACTCTATCCACTGAGCCAAATTGGTCAGGGCCCTTCCGGGGCTCCCTCTCCTGGTCTCTCTGCTCCCATCTCCACACACGTCCGCGTCTTTCCCTCCCCGCGCCCGTGTCCCCGCTGCTGCCTGTGACAGTCTGTGCTGCCCCCCCTCTGCTCCCCCATCCTCTGCGGCCCCCTCCCCCCCGGGTCGGTCTCTCCTCCCTCTCCGGCCCCAGCCCGGCCCCCGCCCCGCAGTCCCCGCTCCCACAGAGCCCTCCCTGGGGCAGGTCCCTCCTCCGGGGACACCGCGTCCCCCTGAGCCCACCCCCTGGCCCTGTGCCCCCGGCACTCAGACCTGACTAATGGGGCCAGGAGGGCGGGCGCGGACCCCCAGGCCGGGCCATCCGGGCTCTTCGGGCGGGAAGCGCCGGGCGGGGAGGGCAAAGGGCGGGAACCACTGACCGGACCTCCAGCCCCGCGGGGGCCCCGGCGGCCCCGGGGACGGTTTTCGGCGGGAAAACCACGCGGCGGGCGGGCCCACAGCCACCGGCGGACAGACCGCGGGCCGGGCCTCAGTTTCCCCCAAAGGAACGCGGCGCCTCCACTGCGCAGCCGCCGGGACGCGCACTCACCGCCGGGAGGGGCTCCGGGCGGGGCTCCCACACGGACCTCAGCGCCCCGCGGCGCCCTCAGCCCTCCCTGCGGGGAGGGGCCGGGAGCAGCGGCTTTAAAGCACAGACACCTCCTCAGGGGCCGCCCCCCGCCCCTCCGCAGCCGCTTCCGGCTGCCGGGACTGCGCATGCGCCTCCCTGGGGGGCGGGGCTGAGCCGAGCGGCTCCGCGGTGGGGGCGGGGCGGAGCCAGGGGCGGCCTGGGCCCCTCCCCCTCCCACAAGGACAGCCCTTCCTGGGGGAGTCCTGTCTTGGGTTTGGCTGGTGGCGTGCCTGATCCTGGATTAACAGAGATACATACACCAATGGAACAGAGGAGAATGCCCTGCCAGAAACCCTGATGAAGCCTCACCTGCATCAGACAGGAGCCTTCTCTGCGGGAGAGGATACAATCCAAAGAGGTAAATGTAACCTCCAGAAATGCTTGTTAAAAGTCATCTATGACTTTTAGACATTCCTGTACATTTCCTCCTTAAAATTGATAATGGAATGACAGTCCCTCTGGTAGTGATGTCTGCTGGTCAACAACCCTCTCCATTCCCAATGGTGAGGTTTGGGAGTCAGTGACTCACACATTTAGAATCAGATATATTATCAAAGCTCTCAGAAAGGTTTCCATGTGTGTTGGAAACTACAGTTGAAAAGGGTTTTGTCAGGAGCTTATATGCCCCCCACCCCCGGCCAATCAGGCAAATGTTGGTAGTGAGGCTGAACCAACTCTGCGGGAACGGGGGTCTCAGGGAGGGGCTGGAGGAGAGGAGGGGCTTGAACCCTGGTACATGACTGCAATTGGATTCATGTAAGCACTTCCATTAAACAAGAGTTGCAATGGTCTGTGTGAGCACGAAGAACTAGAAGGTGAAACCACAACTCTCCCTGGGTAGATGGGCAATTTCACATTCGCACCAGCAGCCCTTTCTGCTCCCTTCCTCATTCACCGGGGAGACCAAGACTCAACATGGCTGAGTTCCAGAGCCTTTCAGAGGGACACCTGAGATATGAGATTTGGGTGACTAAGGTATATGATTCTTTCGACAATATAATTGCTTAAAAAGAAACCTTTTAAAGAACATTGTGATAAACTGCATTACTAAAACAAATGTGTCCAACACTTGAATTAAATTTCCTTAAATATTGTTTATTCACTACATTATTTAATGAATTATTATTTCATGTAATACCTGTTCCAAAATGAAATACATCAAAAATAAACACTTCCGCTGAAGCCGATTTGGCTCAGTGGTAGAGTGTCCGTCTGCGGACTGAAAGGTCCTGGGTTCGATTCCGGTCAAGGGCATGTACATTGGTTGCGAGCACATCCCCAGTAGGGGGTGTGCAAGAGGCAGCTGGTTGATGTTTCTCCATCCACCTTTCTAGCTCTCTATCCCTTCCCCTTCCTCTCTGTAAAAAATCAATAAAATATATATATTTTTAAAAACTTAAAAAAAATAAAATAAAAAAATAAACACTTCTAACTTAGCTAAGTAGCAAACATTGAAGTATTCTTTCTTTATATTACCCAAATAAAACTTCAAGAATATGTACAGACAGGTGATTCTTTTTTCTTCTTTTCTATCTTCTTTTATAGGGACCCATGTCTATTAGATTAGGCCCCCATCTTATGACCTCATGAAAAGTTAATGACCTCTGTAAACCCGTTATGTCCAAATATAGACATACTGGATGTTAAGCTTTAAAAATATCCATTTGGCATTATCTGTTATGTAAAGCCACCCAAAAGGGATTCTCTTAATGCAGCAATACTCGATATTTCTTATTATTCTATGGGTTGCTCAGGTGGTTTTTCTGCTTCATGTGCTATTGGCAAATGGTCTGTCAACTTTTCACTAGATCAAAACATGATTTAAAAAAAAAAAACAAAAAAAAAAACCACCACCACCACAATTTCCCTTCCTTCCAGACTTCCATCCTAGTTCCTTTGCTGCAGCATCCACTAATAGTCTCCTTCCAGCCTCTATCCACTAGCCAGTTACCAAGGCCAAGTCACATGCGTTATTAGGCTTTCATTACTGAACATCTGAACCTCAGGAAGTACTTTTATTTTTAGAATATTTTGTTGATTTCAGAGAGTTAGGGAGTGAGAAACATCAATGATGAGAAAGAATCAAGGTTCCATTAATTCCTGCATGCCCCCTATTGAGAACTGAAGGGGATGTGCCCTGACCAGGAATCTAACCCAACCTCCTGGTTCATAGGTCAATGCTCATTCAT